CTAGGAATTTGCCAGAGGAACGGTATTGGAGTGGAGTGTCATATAAGAAGAGTGGAGGCAGGGGACCTACACGTGTGCGAGAGAAAAGGATGAAGAAAGATTTAGAGGTAGAAAAACGGAAGCCATGGTTTGTGGCCCAGGAAGATACTGACGAGATTGCAGACTAAAAAAAATGGTAGAAATGTGGTATGGATGTGCCAGAGGCATAGATGGTTAAATCATCAACATATAGTGATGACCGGGCTCCTGGTGGTAGACCTGAGACAATATCATTAACAGCAAGAAGGAATAAAGTGGTACTGAACACACTGCCTTGTGGGACACCTTCGATTTGAGGAAAGAAAGATGATGTGGCAGAGGCAATTTTGACCTGGGAAGTGCGTTGGGAGAGGAAAGACTTTATGAAGACACCCATGTTTCCACGTATGCCTAGAGAGGACAATTGTTGGAGAATATGGTACCGCCATGTCGTATCATATACCTTTTCTAGATAATACATATAGCTAGTACAGATTCATAGCGTGCAAATGCGGATGTAATATGTCTCAAAATGAGCAAGGGGGTCAGCTGTGCTTCAGGCACGGCGAAAACCGAATTGGGAGGAGAGAAAAGATTGTGAGATTCAAGATACCACATTAAGTTCACCATTCGTTCTAATGGTTTGCACAAGCAGCTAGTTAGTGCGATGGGGCGATAGTCTTGAGGGAGGGTACCCGATTTATTGGGTTTCAGGAAGGGAAGGATAAGAGCTCGCCAATTAGAAGGAAAATTTCCTGATGTCCATATGTGGTTGTAAATTTTTAATAGGAAGGATAAGGAGGAAGATGGGAGTTGCCGGAGCATACGGTAGTGAATACCGTCAGGACCTTCATGAGAGTTGCAGCACGATTGTAGGGCAGCACTGAGTTCAGAGGAAGAAAATGGAGCATTATAGGACTCAGCAGAAGATGGGGTAAAGATAATGGGGGTACGTTCTCTGATGGTCTTAATAGAAGAGAAGTGTGGAGAAAGGGGAGAACCACTACTGACCTGGCTGAAATAGTCACCCAATTCATTAGCGACTTGGAGAGGATCAGAAATGAGGGTATCTCGAATATGGAGGACGGGGGAAGGATGGGGGGGATGTTTGCCTGATAGTTTGTGGATTCGGCGCCAAGATAGATAGATGTAGATGTAGAGGATGTAATTGATGAAACATAATTTCGCCAACTATTTGTTTTACTATTCCGGATTGTACGACGAAGACAGGCAGATGCTCTTTTAAAGCAGATAAGGGCTGATAGTTGATTTGGAGTACCTCTCTTGCAGCGGTAACTGTTCCAGGCTGCACGTTTTAAGCGAAGCGCTTTAGTGCAATCAGATTTCCACCATGGAACACATTTGGAGGTATAGGGTCTTGAGGTTCGAGGGATAGCTGTATGTGCAGCTCTTAGGACTAGTTGTGAAACACTGTATCATTTCTGAAATGGATGAGAGGGAGGATGGAGGGGTATGAATAGCAGAAAGTGAAGTGAAAGCATGCCAATCGGCTCTATCAAAGCACGAGCGTGGAGAATTAGGAAGTGGTACATATGAAGTAGGAGAAAGGACTAGAAAGTGGTCACTATAGGGAAAGTGGTCTAAGACTGACCAGTGGAAATCTAAATGAAGAGAAGGGGAGCATAGAGAGAGGTCAATGCATGAAAAAGATTGCGTGCGTGTATCAAAGTGTGTGGGGCGATCTGAATTTAGAATAAGGTCAGCTGTGGAGAGGAAGCGCTCTAGAGATCGGCCTCGGGAATTGGTGATAGAATCACCCCAAAGAGTGTGGCGGCAGTTAAAGTCACCAACTATGAGAAAAGGTGGTTGAAGTTGGGAAATCAGATTTTCAAAAGCAACAAAGTCAATGGGGTGGGAAGGGGAGAAGTAGACTGAAATCACTGTGATCCAACGGTGAAGAAAGATACGAATAACTGCGCAAGGGACATTGGTTTGAAAGGGATGTGTGACATAAGGTGTTTTCTGATTGATAAGTATGGACGAGACATAAAGGGAGTGTGGGGAAGAGACAAAATGATAATTGGGGATTGGTATTGGAGGATGTATAAGAAAGGTCTCTTGAAGGCATACAATGGATGGGTTATAAGAGGAAAGGATATGACGAAGGTCGGGTCTGTGAGAGCGGAAACCGCGAATATTCCAATGAAGGATAGTTATACTTTAGTGATATAGATTGTAGTACGTGTTGGAGAATTTGAGGGGGGAAGCAGCTAGAGGGTGGGATAAGGACTGAGAGGTCTGAGATGGGAGGGGTGTGGGAGTTGGTGTTCTATTAGGAGGGGTATTAGGAGATGGAGGGTTTGAGGAAGGGGATACTTGTGACATAAGGGATTCACGTGTGTATCCAGGAGGGAGTGGAAGGGATAGAGGGGATGGTGGAAAGGTTAATGTGGGTGGGGTTGGAGTCGGGGGGGATGGGCTGTGTTGGGAGGGGATAGGAGGATGGGGTGTAGGGGGATATCGTTAGGAGGATGGATATCGGCAGTCACTTGGAGTGTGGAAGGAGCAGGAGTTGTAGGATTTGAAGGCTGAGTGTCAGTTTTCATTAAGTAATCTTGAATATTTTCATTAGTTTCTTCTGAGGAGTTGGTTGGGGAGTTTTGGGAGATAAAGGATTTCTTGTGAGGGGGGGAAGAGAGGACTGGTGTCTCAAGAGTAGGGGCGAAGGAAGGTGGAGGTGATTGTGTGGTAGGGGAAGAGAGGGTAGAACGTTTATTCTGTCTGTTACGGGTAGTGCGAGGAGGGAGAGGGGAAGGTGTTGGGGTTGTAGTGGAGATTGGAGTGTCTGTAGTAGTAATTGGAGTGTGGATTTAGGATGGCAAAAGAGTTTGGCTGGGGAAGGTAGGAGGTAGAAGAGGGGGAGTTAGATGTAGGGGGGAGGGGTTTAGGAGAAATGGTAGAATGAGCAATATTACTGGAGTAAGGAGTAAGAGAGAAACCACGTCGACGTGCTTCCTGTCTGGCTTCACGTAGTGTGAGTCCAAGTTTGAATCTGAGAGTTGCTACCTCAGACTCAAATTTGTAGGCGGGACAGCCCCTATAAAATACACTATGGGGGCCACCACAGTTGGCACATGTGCGTGATTGTGCAGAGCAGTTTGATCGAGTATGGCCAGGTTGGGCACATAGTGGGCATCTGGCTGTGGAACGGCAATGTTTAGCTGGGAGTCCTAGACGCCAACAATTTTGGCACTGACGTGGAGAAGGTTGGTATGGACGGACAGGGAGGGATTCTCCACCTATGTAAACGTTAAAGGGAAGGTCATGTATACGGAAGGTAATGTTGGCTATGTTAGTATGTTTCTTTCGATGACCTCTGGGGGGAATGGAGTAGCATTGTACTGATGTTGCTGTGAGACAGGTGAGTAGGTCTTCTCAACAATCTGATTAATCTTTGTCATAGATTGGGCAATTTGCTGGGGAGATTGAAACAGTTCCGGTGCAAGTATTGAGGGTTGGATGGGGTTCTGCAAGGATAGGGTTACCATATAGGTCACTTAGTTTTGTTAATGCTGTAGCTTGGGATTCAGAGGTAACTGTGACGAGACGGGAGCGGTCGGGTCGGCTACGGAAAGAGACTTTACCTACTTGTTTTTGGAGACATTGTTGGAAGAGAAGGGTGTTGTCAGAGTAGGGAGCTGTGGGAGGGAACACGAAAAATCGGTCCCATTTGGCTGCGCTAAATAGAGTATTCAAGATTGTTGAGATAAGGGTAGTTGAAGGGCGGGTGTGTGACGAAGAGGGAGTAGTGTTAAGGGAGGTAGTGTTATGGAGAAGTGGGCAATAAGGCTGTAAGGTATTAATAAGGGAGGATGGGGTAGATGTTGGAGGTAGTGGGGGAAGAGGTGTTGAAGTTGAGTATGTTGGGAGATTGGAAATGTCTCTTGGGGTTGATTGTTGACTACTGTACTAGTAGGTATTGATGAGGGGGTAGTTGTTGCAGTGTTCAGAGCCGTGGTCAAAGGAGAGCCTGGGGTCAGGGAATCGGGAGGGTTTGCATCGTTGAGGCTATTTGATAAAGGGGCAAGCCTCATTGCCCCTAATAATGGGATTATGTTTTCATTATTGGCCATGGTTAGCCTGGATTATGTTGGGGATAAAAACAGTCCACACTTTAGGGTCCCCTTGAGGAGTAAGGGCTAGGTAACTAAATCAGGGGAATACTGTGCCCATGGCTCCCTCAGGCCGTTCAAGACTAGCACAAAGTCAGCCTTTCATCCTTTCAGCATGGCTCTCACACCTTAGGAGGTGGATAGCAGAAGGGTTTGGTGAAGGGACAGAAACAAAAAAGTAGGAAGGGAAATAAGACCATGCAAAATTAGTTGAGTTGAGGTCTGAGTCCCAAGGATGGGGAGTTCCCCATCATTGGGTCCCAGTCTCCATCTCCTAAGCCCCCCTCCACGACAACAATGGGCAAGGGATTGGGGGGGATATAATTTTATATATATATATACAAATATATATATATAATTTTATATATATATAATTTTATATATATATATATAATTATATATATATATGTAATTATATATATATATATAATTATATATATATATATATATAATTATATATATATATAATTATATGTATATAATTATATATATATAATTATATATATATATAATTATATATATATATTTATATGTATATAATTATATATATATAATTATATATATATATATAATTATATGTATATAATTATATATATATAATTATATATATATAATTATATATATATAATTATATACATATATACATATATATATATATATATATATATATATATATATATATATGTATATGTATATGTATGTATAAGTATGTGTATTTATATGTATGTGTATATATGAGTATATAGCAAAGATAATAACTAATGATGTGATTACATGTAAATAAGATAATAAATGCAGAAATGGCATAATGACTTTCAACTTTCTTTAGAGTTAGGATTAAAGTAAATATAAAATTTCACATCTTTACTGCTAAATAATAATTTACATATACTTTGGTTGTTTATTTTCTTCCAGTTTAACCCATTACCGCTGTGGAAAATTAATAAAAAATAGGAAAAAATGCTGTGTTTATTTATTTATTTTTTTTTTTGTGAAATGTCTCTGCACATAGATGGCTCTGCTAATGCTTCACCTTACCTGATTTCACCTTTCCAAGAATTGGCGGGAAAATGTATTTTTAACTAGTGCTATGAATATTGATAGTGTTATTTTTATTATAAACATTATAATTACTATAATGTTATAAACATTAGTAATAGCAAAATAAGATAACGTAAAATATTTTTGTAAATTAAAGAAAAGGGTGAACGGGCAAGACAGGCAGTACTCGTAATTGGCTCATTGGTGATTTAGTACAAGTGTAGTCATCTATGTGTAAAAACAATTAAACAAGTAAACTGATAGAGCATGGTATGGACATACATGACATACCCGTCGGGAATGGGTAAAGCATTTGTAACTCTTTTCAGAAGAATGTTTTCTAATGTCTCCTTTCCATTGAAGACTAAATACAGAAAACAGGAGACTTTGAGATGGTGAAGAATAAAAGTAAGAAGCACTAAAAATGGGTGAGTAAATTATATAAATTAAACCTAACCATATGGTTTTTGCCAAACCCATCTCCCTGTTCCCCCTCTGCTCAGCTTCAGGCAAATCAATATGGACAATGTGTTTTTCAATGCAATTCAGTTTCAGAGTCCTAACCTTTGTGACTAATGAACAGAACAAACCACAACAGGCTCTTCTTTGTCAATGCATTACAGAGACTGTTGGCAGCTGAGACTACAGAAATTTCTGATAGCTGTTGTACAATAATATGTTTGATTAACTTTTAAATGCTTAAGAAGCATTTCTGATAAAAAGATCTTATGCATCAGAGCTAAAGTAGTCACAATTCCCCCAATTACAGACAACACCAATCAGTGTCACTGCATTTACATTACCTCATCCTTTGAGTAATCATTATAATATAAATAGGCACACATTTTACAAAATAGAAAATGAAGAAAATATACATATTAAACAAATTCACAATGAAAGATTTTAAAGTTAATGACAATGTTACATTAATCAGAATGACCAGAAATTGTTTGGGTGAATCACTGAGTAAAAAATTATATTATGCTAACTTTTCATGTTTTTCTTTATTTTGGTTCCTAATATCCCAACAGTACAAAACATATACAACACTAAGAACCGCAACAATATTACAAGAAATAATACAAACATCATATGGATATTCCACTGTTAAAGTATTGATACTTTTGTTGATGAGACCTGTGGTTACATTAGTTAGCAGGAAGAAAATGAGTGGCCGACGGTTGATGGAAGCCAAAGTAGGTGGAACACACAATACAGGTGACAGGGTTTCCTCTATCAATGAAAAACTTGCAAAACCTATTGAAGTATACGTCATCTGGAAAGAGACAATAATTTGCTTTTTACTATGGTGCACATTACTTCTACAAGAGAAAAAGGCTAATTTCCTAGACGAAACTGCCAAATCAATCTAATAGTTTCTAACAAACAACTTATTACAGAGTACAATGATCACATTATAATAAAGAGTGTAGAAAGATAAAGTGGTGTGTAGCATAATCTTTATCACAGAGGCAATATATGCTCATTTTCTAGGTCTTTAAGGACATGGCTAATCTGAGTGATTGCAACTAAGATATTAAGCAAAAATGAATGTTACATGCCAAAAAGGTTTTCATAAGCTAGATACTAGAAAGACTCTGGGTATCAAAGACTTGGAAGCCATTGATGTCTATATATCCATATATCAACACCAAGGATCTGGGTGGTGTGACCATCAAGTCACAAAAATAATTGGCAGGTGACAGGAATATGCCATCATGGAAAATTTTGATTGATGGCCTGGGTGATGGGAATATGCTGTCATGAAAAAATTGGCAGAAGTTGGGGTGACAAGAATGAATTTCCATGAGAGGACAAAGCTCTTGAAGGATGACTAGACTCAGTGAGCATCTAGGATGGGGCTCTTGGATTATTTCCTCTGGTAAATGAGAGTGGAATGTATCATCCATGACTGGAAGAGTGTCAGCTCCTGGGGGAAACTTTTTTCCATGCTCAGGAACCTATTCCTGCCTGTTGTAACTGGCAGCATTGGGTGTATTTCACACACACACACACACACACACACACACACACACACACACACACACACACACACACACACACATACACACACACACACACATACAAGATAAATAAATAAAATAAAGAATAAAAAATTACTTAATACAACAGAATGTTACTTATTGTTCTTATTATTGCACTGAATTGCAGATTATCAGAAAGATGATTTTGAGTCTGTGTAAGGAAAACAGTCCATTATCATCTTGATAGAGCAAATCCAATGACAAATATAGACCTTGGATAATGGAATGAAAGCAAAAAATGCTTATGCAGAAAAAGAGATGATAACACTGCAAGGAGGCAAGGAGTCTTGACACAGTACATGAGTCTTTGTGTGGGCTGGGCCTACAAGCCATACATCTGGGAGAGCCACCAATTAAGTGAGTCTAATGCTTAGATTTTGGGCCATGTGCATGCAGCAAGGCATCTGGATCCAAAGGGGTGATTCTCAATAAAAAAAATTATGGTATTCTTAAAGAACTGCTAATACTTCTGGATCTCAATATTATTGTGATGTTCAAGGAACTTTACATGATATCTATCAATTGAAATGGATGTAAGATGTACCTTAAAAGTAACATTAAAAAGCTCAGAATAAATACAACTTTCTCCAAGAAGTTCATACTTACAACAAAAGTAACAAAGGTGGGGTTGCCAAGTCTACGAGACGGCAAGTCCACATAATGGCCTAAGACAACAAAGGAGATGCTGAAAATAGCAGTAATCACAAGGAATGATGTTGTGAGCTTCTTTCCCTCATTTCTGTAAAGAAAGGAAGAAAATAGATTTTCACATACCTAAAGCAGTGTTTTTTTATGTAAATAAATATTTTGATCTACAGCCTCATGATAATTGACTGCTATTTATTTATGATTATTTTTTTTCCTTCACCATATACAATTAATGTGACAGTCTATCCTTAATCTGATGGTCTATCTTTATTCTATTTACATATTTGAATATTTGAAAACACATACATTAAATCCTTATCAAAGTAATAGTTATTATTTGTTTACTGATAATCAATGAAAACAATGATTCATAAACCAAAAATTCACTAACAATGTAATACAGAACAGTTTACCTTCTCCTGAACATGTAGTTCCCCATTGCAGTGCCAAAGAAATAAACAGCCATATAACCTGGCATTGATACAATCCATTCTCTGTTTGCAGTGAGAAGATTATCTCTTGGAACATTACTCAGTGTCCATGAACCAAGATTGCCAGCAGTTAATAAAATGTGATGGCACAGACACAGCAAAATTGCTAGTATAGTACCTGAAGACCAGGTCAGGTGATATACCCACCATGAACAAGTAGCCTAGAATGAAAAAGGAAATATAATGGCTACTTATTTTCAAATTTCAGTATACTGTAATAGATACAAAAATCTGAAAATGGTCTTATATTTATCAGAAGCAATACACTTACATAGACATACTGACAACAGTGGAACAATTTTCATGAACAACATATGAAGCATATACATTTTATATTTTAGACAGTTCATAATATGTAATTTTAATATAATACACCCACCAAAGGTTTATCCATGTAAGATAGTCACACAAAAATAAAAAATCATTGGATTTTCATACCTTAATAAATGCCAGTGTGAAGAAAAAATTGCCATGTACCCCATACTCTGTTACATGATGCTGGTAATCTGACATATGAACAAATATGACTCTCAAAAGACCCAAGATGGCAAGGACAACAGCATCAACCATCACAGACCTGAACAAAATGAAACTACTGTTTGAATGACAGTTTAGATAAAGTGATTCTGTAATGCAAAATCAAGTTTATTTTTTTCCTGTTAACAGTGTAAATGATAAAAGATATGAATTTCAAAGTGGAAGGGGAGGGAGGGTAAGAAAAACTGATGAAGAGAATCATTATGGCGTCTCCACATAAAAGGTGAGAAAGAAATTTTTATATTCTTGCTTTCTTTTACCAGAAAGTTTTTGAAAGTACGAGGAACTTACTTGTAGCACCTTCTCTTCCGACCTTCAACGAAACCGTTCACAACAACAAACCCTCCAGCTCCCACATCCATTACGCTATATCCATATTCCTCTGTCTTGGCAAATCTGAAAACAAGTTAAAAAATGAATGCTTTGAAAACATTAGCTGTGTTTCATTAGAAAGATAATACTTGGAGTGTATTATCTGTACGTATCTTCAACAAACTATCAATAGAAATACACTATGCCTTAAAAATTAACTGATAAGGAATACAATTTCTTTACCTCCTTGGAAAACTGTGAAAATCCACACCCAAGATAGCAACAGCTGTATTTACATTCAATATAGCTCTCATTGCAGTCAAACATGCCAAGTGCTGCAAGAAAGGCAACATAAAATTTAATAAGGGATGCAATCAGAAAGATATAAAGATCTTGCTGATCACATTACTTTGCTTGCATATTGGTGTGAATATATATCAGTGCTTTGAAATAATCTGACTTATGACAAACTGCAACATAGTCTACAAACTAATATTTTTCATACATCTGAGAAATAGATAGCTGCTTGCTTAAACAAATCTAAACAAACAATCAAACTCAAGTATTAAATGGATTCTTTCACATATATCTGAGAAAATATACACACCTTTGAATTATTCAGGAAGGAATCCTGTAGTGGATGAGATGTACAAATTAGGACTAAACCAGCGAGCAATATCTGCACTGCACTCACTTCCAGGGTATAGTTTGCCAGTACTGTAAATCCAAGTGTAGGTGGAACAACCAGTAAAAAACTATCTATAAAAAACCAAAGCCTGTAATGGGAAAAGACAAAAAAAAAAATATGAACACAAGTCAGAGAAGCTGAGACTCTATATAAAATATCCATGGTGATATAATGGTATTACCCATTAATCTTACAAACCAATACATTTTAATATAAATTAGTATCAAATTAGGCAGAGAGATATGGAAGAAAGCTACATGATGAAATAAATTACACTGTTGAATGCCTGAACATTTCTTTGATTTACAAAAGCATTTTACGTTATCTTATTTTGCTGTTACTAATGTTTATAACATTATAGTAATTATAGTGTTTACAATAAAATTAACACCATCGATATTCATAGCACTGGACATTTCACAAAAAATATAGAAAATGAGCACAGCATTTCCCCCCATTTTCTATTAATTTTCCCCGGCGGCATTGGGGTAAACAATAAACAGCTTAATGATGAAGATAATAATAGTGAGAGTAACAGTGACAGTAACAGTAATAGTAGTAGTAGTAGTAGTAGTAGTAGTAGTAGTAGTAGTGATGATGATGATGATGAAAATGAAACTAAAACTAAACTAAAAATAAAAATAAATATAAATATAAAACAAAGATTAAAATGAAAATGAAAATGAAAATATATAAAACAAAGATTAAAATGAAAATGAAAATGAAAATAAAAATAAAAATAGAAATAAAGATGAAATGAGAAAAAAATAAAAATGAGAGAGATCGAGAGTGAGAAAAATAATAAAATATTATGGTAATAGTTATAGTAACAACAACAATTATAGTGCTACTGCTACTACTACTACTGATAATAATAATAATAATAGTAGTAGTAATAATAATAATAACAATAAAATCAATAACAATAATAAGTCAAATAATAATAATAACAGTAGTAATAACAATAATAATGATAATGGTAATTATGATGATGATGATAATAATAATAATAACAATGATGATGATGATGATGATGATGATGATGATGATGATGATAATAATAATAATAATATAATGATAGTGATGATGACACTATCTATAATTGTAATAATAATAATAATAATAACTATTATTATTATTATGACCACTATCATTATAATTATCATTATAATAGAAATAATAATAATAATAATAATAATAATAATAATAATAATAATAACAATGATGATAATTATAATAATAATTTGTTATTGACAATGATGGTGATGATGTTGATGATAAAGAGTATGATGATTTCAATGAAGGAAGATACCATGTTATTATGAGACTAACTCCTTTTCCACTACTTACCATCCCATACGCCCCTTCACAACACACGCAGCAAGAAGAGATGCTGGTATTACAGGATATATTGCCAATATGACATCAATAGCTGTTGAACCAGTGTGTCCTGTCACAAAAGCCTCATGGGCTGCTCGCACTGATTTGTTGTCATACATGATCATCTGTTGAAAGAAATATCAAAGTGAGTAGGGCTATACCTTCATAATATCAGTGTCAGTTCTGGCTTAACTGGATCTTTTTCAGGTGGTAATATACTCAATGCTAGGGTTTTTTCTGTTCATTTATAGTGTATGATAGATGACAGGAAAAATGGGCAAGGTCCAACAAAAGCCTGGTTAGAAAAAATGGGGTATTGGTTAGGATTTTCATTTAAACTGTCAGAGCAAACATCTATCCCGGTAATCAAAAACTGAAATGAAGTGTACAGTGAGTAGATGGACGATAAACTCACCTCTGAACCAGGAGAGAGTCCTGGTACATTTAAATAAATGGACTATGAAACCCTAAATAAAAGAAGACATAAAAACTGTGAAAGCAATAGCAAAACAAACCCACCTTCCAAGCAACACTAGAATGAAGAAGCCGGAAAGAACTTCACGCAATTCCAACCAGCAATGAATGACAAGACTGAACCCAACATTCAAGTAAGATGAAGCCTGAATGCAATACTTATACAACTCTCAGGAGATTCATTAAATTCAAATTTTAAAAACCTAATTCAGTTAACAAATGCAATAAACAATTCAGAATTTCACAAATATATCAGAAAATCAGGAATTGGGAAGGCAATCAGATTTGAAATTGATGATATTAGGGAAAAAGAAATTAGAAAGCTTGGACAATGGGAAATTAATCGTAAACAACCAGCATCAAGTATAAACACTGACTGTACATACGCAAATATATACCCAGCTGAAACAGACCTAGATATAAGAACAATGAGAGAAAATATAACTTTAGGTCAGAATTCTTCCATTCAAAAAATATTAAGAATAAACAAAAGTAATCAAGAAAAAAACAAAACAGAGAAATGGACTCCAACACGGTCTCTAAGAATTACATTCAAAGAACCATTACCAGAAAGGATGGCTAATGGCCATACCTCATACCAAGTCAAACAGTATACCTTCCCAATACCCAAATGCTACAATTGCCTCTAATATGGACATGGGATTCTTGAAGTTAATGCAGTAGTTTTAACCATGATTTCAAAGATTGTAATAATAACCCATATTGCTTCTTTTGTGAAAATCACATAACAGTTACTCATGTAGTTTACACAATAAAGCACAAGAAATAAGTAAATACACCAAACAATCCAGATATCAAGAAGCAACTGCAACAACTGAAACATTTTACAGAACAAGCTAAAAATAATACAAATAAAGATACAAACACAAAATCAAAAGAAAACACTAGAATAACTAAAGAAACCCACACTCCACAGATTAACATAGACCTTGGAAATACAAGCCAATACCAAAATACACCACAAAGCTATGCACAAGCTATGTCACATCCCACCAGGACAGAAAATACCCACAAGACACCAAACGGAAATACACAATCAAACAAAAAAGGAATAACAAAACCACAAAACAATAAAAACAAAGAAAAACATACAAATCCAGAACAGTCACCAATAACATGGACATTACCCACACCCATTACCCACTCTCATCACCCATACCCACAACCCTCACCCATTACTCCTACCCATCACCTATAGTTATTTCCCACACTCAAAAACAAAAGATAAATGAAAGAAAAGAAGAAAACTTAAACTGGGTGATTATCAAAAAAAATAAATAAATAAATAAAGTCAGTATCAAATTTGATGAACAATATAAACTCAAGAAAATCAACTTTAAAAATAATTATGGAAGCCATAAATCTTAAAACAAGTAATGAATTTGATAAATTCATAACATAACATGGAACGCTTACTCAATCCAAAACCGAAAAAACAGATTTCAATGATCTAATATTCAAAGAAAACCCAGGATTAATTGCCTTGTGTGAAACTTAAAAGAATAAAGGTAACTTTAGAATGAATAATTATAAGATAATTAGGAAAGACCAAGAAAACCAAATTGGTGGAGGTCTAATGATACGTATAAGGATATACAGTTTAAAAAATTAGGTCTGAATGACAGATACAAGTATAAGATTGAGATCCTAGCAGTAAAAATACAACATAGAGAAAAATGGATGAATATCATATTGACATACAATCCTTGCAATAATATATCTAAAGAATTTCAGTATTACATAGATCAGATACAAGAACCAAACCTGATGGTAGGAGACTTCAATGCACACCATCCTAACTGGAACCCAGTAACAAACAAAGTAATGTAACGAGAAATAACTTAAAATTGATAATTCCAAATAATATCATATTATTAACACCAAAAGGACAAATAACATGAATAGATCCAAAGACAAACTGAGAAGCCACCCTTGACCTGGTCATAAGTTCACCTGCAAGAAGCCACTTAACAATAAGAACAGGCCCACAGCTATATAGAGACCACCTTCCAATTATAATAAAAGACAAAAACTATCAAATCTCATAAAAAATATCAGAAAGAAAATGGAAATCCACAAAGGAAGGATGGTCTGCCATCAGAACTTAGCCGAGTAAATATAAATATAAATTCACTAACAGAACTAATGAAGTTAATAAAAGACATTGGAGAAGAACATGTCAGCTTTGAAAGTAAAAAGATAAATCACAAACCTAATAAACCCTGGTGGAATGAGAAATGTAATGAAATAATAAAGAAAAGAAATGAAGCTTATAGTAAATAGAGAAGCCCATACACAGAAAATATATTAAATTATCTTAAAAAATATGGAATTTAATAAAAAAACAGGCAGGTAAAACAACAAGTGATTACCCTCTTATAAACAACAACTTTCCAGTAATTCAGATCTCAAAAATCTAGAATTATTTAAAGAAGAATTTGAAAATGTAACAAGTAAACAAACAAAACAAAACTGCAATAAAAGAAAAAATATACACAAGTAGTATGTCTAAACATAGAAAAAGCCTTTGACTCCATCAACCATGAAGCAATTTTAACAAAGGCTAAAAATATTGGATTATGAGGAAGATATTAAAAGGGATGAATATTTCTTTTTAACTGAAAGACCCATTCAAGTACAAATAGGAGAACAGAATTCAACAATGGGAAAAATAATAAGTAAAGTAAAGTCTCACAAGGATCTCCAATAAACCCTATGCTTTTCAATATAGTCAAGTCAGACATAAAAATACCAAAAGAAATATATTAAATGATTTATGCAGATGACTTAACCCTAATAACTTCAAAAATAAATTTAGCTGAAGCAAAAAATACTCTACAACATAGCCTAAGCATTATAAAGGAATGTTCAAATAAATGGAACCTCAAAATAAACCCAGTAAAAAGTAAAGTATGTTTCATAAGCAAAACAAAACAAAACAAAAAGAACAATACCCAATAATTAAAATAGGAAACAATGAAACAGAATTCACAAATAATCATATAATTTTAGGAGTCAACTTTGATGCACCAAAATTGACTTGGAAAAATCACATGACATATGTAAAAATAAAATCAATGAATAAATATTATGAAAAAACTGATGTCATTAATTTGGGGAGCAAATAGAGAAACCTTAATGAAGTTCTTTGACATATATATAAAACCAATAACTGAAAATGGAATCACAGTATATGGTGCAACAAATCAAATGGAATTGAAAAAAAAAAAAAAACTAGAAACCATCCAAAATAATGCATTATGAATTGCAACAGGATCCCTCAGAACAACACCAATAACAACCCTACAAGTATTGACAAATCAAATACCAACAGCAAACAGAATAAAAGAATTAAGAATTAGAATGCATCCAGTTCATAAAAAAACATGATAATATGCCAATTAAATATTTGACCTCAAAAAACAGAAAAATTTAATTAAAAAAAAAAAAAATAAAATGACACTAGTATCTAGTGTAACTGACACTTGCAAAAAGAGGAAAAAAATTAAGAATTGACACAATACCTAACATATCCCCAATTCCGCCATGATCTGACATCCTATAAAACATAGAATCAAACTTGATGGATAATATGAATAAGAACACACCACACCAAATGATACAGCAACACTTCCACCTACTAGAAAACACAGCATACCAAAATTACCGCAAAAAATACACAGATGGATCAAAACTAAAAGAACCAAAATCAACAACAACAATACACATTCAAAACAAAAACATTACAACAATTTGGAAATTGCAAAACAACACAAAGATAATAGAAGCAGAATTATTTGCAATTAAACAACAACAAACTACAGAAAACAATAATCTTAACAGACTCATAAACATCTACACAAGCAATAAAAAACTACAAACCAGTAAAGTACAAAAACATAATATATTAAATACAATCCCAACTACACTTATTAAACACTAAAAAACATATAAAACCATAGTGCATCCCTTTGCATGAGAACATAAAAGGAAATGAAAGAGCAGAGAGAGTTGCAAAACAAGCTCATGAAATAAAATATCCCATAACCATGACCCACAATGCAACAAATATAATAAGAAAATTGGATTACCAATTTGAATGAAATATTAAACACAAAGGATTACTAAATGAAATATAACAATCCACAACCATGGGCAAGATAACCACACAGGAAAATAGAGGTAACCATCACAAGAATAATGACAAAACACACAAGACTTCTAAGTCTTGTGTGTTTTGTCATTATTCTTGTACCAATTAAAAATAGAAACAGATCCAATGTGTCGATCGTGTAACTGTCAAGAAGAAACACCAGAACATATAATTTTATAAAGGCCAAGATTTAATTCATACAGAACTAATTCAATAACATCACTAAAGATAAAAATACAAAATCCTGACATGAATTCCTTAACCACTGGTGCAGATCAACCACCCATAAAGAAATATTACATTCTTGACACACAAACACCTTCCTACAAAGAAAAATGCAGGGAGTATAGACTGCTATATAGCCTAATCTAAATCCCTATAAAAGAAGAAAGAAGAGGTCCTCACTTACAATGCAAGTAAAATACTGTGAAGTCAATGGTCAGCTACCTGTTAAATATTCTTAGCAGGTGCCCCACTCAAGTGGATCATAGAATTTTTAAAAAACAGAACATACCAACTAGTTATAGGTAACAAAAAATCTACGGAAGAAAACATAGAACGAGGCCTACCACAAGGCTCTCCCCTAAGTCCATTATTGTTTAATATAATAATATATAATATTATATAATTTATATAAAACCCAAAATAGAATATGGTATCACTATCTTCGGAACAGCCAAAAATACAGAAATGAAAAAAATAGAAATTATACAAAATAACGCACTTAGAATTGCTACAGGCTGCTTAAAAACCACCCCAATCATAGCTTTATACTCACTCACAAACAAAATGCCCATCAAATATAAACAAAAAGAATTAGAATGTATGCAAATGATGAAAATATTAGAAAAACAAGAAAATAATCAAATTAAGGAAGATGTAACAGCAAATATTGAAATATATAATCCTGAAAAAGGTAAGAGAGGTATAGTACAAAGAGTAATAGAAACTTGCAAAGAATTAAATATAACAATAAAAACAAAAACAATATCAAACATAA